AAAAAAAAAAAAAAAAAAAATAGAAAAGGAAGAAAGAAAGAAAGAAGGAAAGAAAAGTTCAAATTACCAACAAAATTGCAAATACACCTTAACATATGTGAGCGACATGTGCCTGCAATAAATACTGCACCTTTGACTTATAATATCTTTACGATGATATTACATATCTGACAGATGTTGAATCTTTTTGTAATTAGGTTAAAGCTCAGAGGCAACTTTCATAATTATCCCAATAAGCAACGAAAACACTCATGCTGGATGGATTTTCTTCACTATGTAGAAACTTTGAAATCAGTGAGGCACACCTTCAGTCTCAACGCCCCCTGCATTTGAACTTTCGGAATCTGAAAATTGGCTCTGCATAGAAGCTGTTCTGCTTGGTGGTAAGGCAGCACCGTCTGTTAACAGATTACAAGTGTTTACTTGGAAAACATGACATTAAGTTGCAATCACCAGGAAATCAAAGTACTCACCATTATTGCTTGCCATGTGCACAGGAGCAGCCTTAGGAACACTCGCCTATGAGGAAAATAATTGAAAATGAGTAACTGGACATTTAAGCCATAAGAAACAACCCAAGTCCAGATATACATTTATATCAGAAGTGTATGCCCTACATACACGGATCTAAGGAGCTTAAGCTGAAAATCAAAAGAACTCATTCACTCACAGGGTTTTCTTCATCATCTTGGAGTGACCTCATGAGCGTCTTTCTGAAGGCTTCCAACTGCCAAAAAAAAAAAAACAACACAACAACAACAACACTGTAAGAGGCTGTTGATGAACACAAGTTTTGACGGCTCTAATGCATGCATATACCGAAGAGGAAAGGCATCTAGTCATTAGAAAGAAGGTCTAATACAATGCTCTAGTGATGGTTTTCATCACTAAAAATAATCCATATATGAATTGCCACGGACAACTAAAAAAGAATGAATGAGAAAAAGTTTAGGTGCAACTCCTTATTATCATGACCAATGCATCCAACACTTTATTGGACTAGTGTTTCAGTAATCGGAAAGCAATAACTAACAAGGCATAGCTAAACCAAGGAAAGAATATGTAAATATATATTGTACAGAGAAGAAGCACACGCACACTTTGCAACCATAATATGCAATAAAGTTAAAGGCAACCTATTCATCTGTTCACCATGAATTGAACCATCATCATATCCACCACTTCAATAAATTTGACCAAGACCCAATTTGCATAGTCAAACTGAAGGATACACCAATCGGTTTGTCTGTTCGTATGTATACGAAATTCAAAGAGATTAGATTTAGCACAAAACTACAGACAAACCTTGGCAACATCTCTGTTCAGTTTCTTCACAGTACTGCTTAGCTGCGCATTCTCCCTAATCAATCCTTCCTTCCATACACAAACCCAAAAAGTAAACATGATTAACAAATATATAAAAAATAATAAAGTAAATTGAATACATAGGATTACTGCTCAACTAAAATCAAGCTATCTAATCTAATCAGTAAACAATTCAACATTCTCAGACGCCCAAACAAAAGCCAAACTGAATGGCCAAGCTCATTTTTAACAGTGAGACAACGTGAACCAAACTACTTCCACAATTTCTCCTCTCACTAACTTCACGCAATTGAGTGCAGGTACTAAATTAAGGTCAGCAGAAGAGTACGCACAAACATTCAGACCTTTTCCTGCTGAACCGTGGTGAGCTTATCGGAGGCCTCGTTCAAGGCGGCGTCGAGCGACTCCAGCTGCGACTCGAGGCCGGATATGATATTGTCGCGGTCGGTGAGCTGGTCACGGAGGACGGACACCTCCGACTCGAGGGCGTCGACACGTGTCGAAAGCGCGATGGAGGTGATTTTCCGGGCGACATCGAGCTGCTCGAATGGGTCCGACGGCAGAACCTCGAGCAGCTCCTCCGGGATGTCGAACCTCGCCGACTCTTTTGCCAACATATCTTTTCTTCAGGAATATTTTTTTACTTTTTCTTTTGAAAATATATTAATTGGGGTTTTAAAGATTTGTGGCCAATAAATTGAGAGGTTGAGTGGAATATCATCCATCTGGATAAGGAATTGGCGCGTTTTAATTTTGTCTTCTTCTTTCTCACGTAGTTCGTTGGTTGGGTGCGCAACAAAAATATAGTGAATGATGATGAACAAAAATGAGTGGCTGCTTCTTTTGTTGATACCTTGAAGGTGGTTTGGCTGATAAGCTGCCAATACATATTACAATTTTTCAGTTATATGAAAGGTTAGTTCTGTGTATTTTAGACTAGGTTAAGGCATATCTTATGTCTTTATATATGTCTGACATACAACATAAACGTTACGCTTCTTCCATGGTATCAGACTAAGACTAAGGTTACGATCAAATATAGGCTACATCTCACGTTACTCGTAGATGATATAGCACATGAGAGCATTTAGGTAGACCGGCAGAAACCGGCTCGGTTTATCAGCCGGATGCAATGCTTGCGGGCCGAGCAGATGCAATGATACGGTTACGTATGGGCTCGGCCCAATACCAGTTCGGTTAGGTGCATCGGCCTAGCAGATGTAATGATTCAGTAATGTGCGGGTGTGGCCCAAATGCTTGTGGGCATATAAAAGGGGCTCTAGGAGGGCCGAGAATGGGACAGGTGTGACATTTATTCAATTGATCCCTAAGGGACACGTGTAGGGTGGTGATCATAGAAGAGATAGGTGATCTGACGGTCAAGAAGTAAGGCGTGCATATGAAGTTAGGGAGCTACATATAAATAGGTAATCTGGTATGACGGTAAGGGAGAGGAGTTTTTACTTCACAAATCCCTAATATACAAACTGAGTCTTCCTCGATACCCTACTAACTTGAGCGTCGGAGGTTTACCTCCGGGATCACTCCCGGCGTCTTTGCAGGTCTGTGGAGGGCTCAAGTGGGTGGAGATCAAGGAGGGTCGGTCCAGTGTGCAATAGCACATCAATTGGCGCCGTCTGTGGGACTTACTATTTT